ATTTTAATTGTGAAAAAGTTCACATGATATATAACAGGTAAAACTTATTGATAGCATGCCTAGATCAGATAAAAAAGATATTACATGTATTTGCTGTGAATATAAATTTACAAGACCAGCTAAACTTCGTCAGCATTATCAAAGTAAAAAAAATCAATGTAATCCACCTCCAGAAATTTTTAGTCAAAAGAAGGGTTGAAAGAAGGCTAATGTATCCAGACCTCAATTGCCAAGCCCTGTTTCAGCTCCAGTAGTCCATACTAAAGGAAAGGATCAAAGAAAACAAGTATCATAAAAAATCAGATCTCAATCACCAACTTCCACCTCACAGGTTATAGACCAAAGGGGTGAATATATTGATAAATATACAAAAAAACCTGGAAAACATTTGAGAACATAGGGTGCGAGATTACGCCGAAGATGGATTGAGGTAACTGGTGAAGAATGCAATTTACCACTAACCATAAAAGATTGTCAACTTTTACATCATGATCTATTACAGGCAGATGATAAGGCTTTTGAATTACAATCCACTATGCAGGATGAAAACTAAGAGGGTGATCCTAGAACTGGTTCTGAAGCTTTTATTCAAGTAGAGGATATACACTTTAAAGAATGCCCAGTTGGGAGAGATCTAGAAAGACCACATAAAAATTGGTCTTTAATGAGCAAATGGGTAAGAAAAGTTCCCAACCTAAAGACAATCATTCATATACTTTTATTCAATCAATATCCAATCTAGAAGAATATAAAAAAATGTCATACATGCCTCAACTTATGGGGCTTGCGTGACAGAAAATTACAGAAGTTTTCCAAACAGAGTTTCGTAGAAAGACTAAATAAAATTAGCTATAGTAGTATTGTGTTTGTATTCGATTACTAAAAGAAATCCAGATGGTACAAGCGATACAATATATATAGAAAAATGATATAGAGGAAAGATGCATCCAATTCTTTCAGAAGAGAATATAGATAAGTATATAACTCAAACTATTGGGGAAATAGATAATCATATTGAGGACACATTAAAAAGTGAATCTGGATGTATTCTTGAACGAATTCTTGAAATATCTATTGAGGCATATCCATATCATTGAACTAAAGGAGGATCCTTCAAACTTACTCTCAAGAAGCTAGCCAATACAAAATGTATCATTAATCCAGATAATCAAGATCTTATTGATCCAGAAATGAATAAGCTTTCTGAAAAATGTCTTCAAGGTGCATTAGGAGCATATTTTGCTCATCAGGATGGACACACAGAACATCTTGAATGAATCTTTTGAGCTAATAAGCTCAAACCCTACTTAGATATCTTCAAGTTAGATGGTATCTCAATGCCTACTCCAATCTGTTCACAAATATTTAATAAGATTGAGGAGATGAATCCAGATATCTCTATCAATGTCTAGGAGTGGAAAGAAGAAATAACCACTCCAAAGCCTGTAATCGCCAGCAAGAATTTCTATATTCCAAATTTATGTAAAATAGAAAATTGTAAGCATAATAATCTGAACGAATGTTATGAAGAAAGACTGCATATAATTCATCTTATGGCTCTTACAGATATAACCCAATCTGAAGAAGGTAAGTATGAGCAAAAGAATCACTTTCTTTGGATCAAGAAGCCAAATACTTTAATATATGGGGATACCGCGTATCATTATAAAAAGCATCTTTGCAATAGATGTATTCAAAGTTTTCTGACAAAAAAATCTTTAACTATTCATCAGGAATGTATTTCAGATTAGAAGAAGCACCACAAAGAGTTACTTTACCTGTAAAAGGAGTAAATGACTTTAAGGAGTTCAAGAACTATGGCTGAATGATAAATACTCCATGTGTAATTATAGCAGATTTCGAGGCTGACAATAAGAAATATGATAAAAAATATGGAGGAAGTATGCAAAAACTTGCCAAGCAGAAGGCAAACAGTTTCTGCTATCTAGTCTATTAGATCAATATTAGAGATATATGAGGTCTGTTCCTATACAGTTAAGTGTTTAGAAAATAAGATAACATGGCTTAATAATAAGCTAGAAAGTACCCCAAAGAATTCAGAAAACTATAAGGCTTTAATCACACAAATTCTCAAAGTGATTAAGACAATTGATCAAGCGGATGCTATGGATATTAAGGTTTGGAATCACTGCTATATCACAGGTAAGTTTCGTGGATCAGCCCATAGGGATTGCAATCTCAAACTCCAGATACAGAATTGGAAGACTCCAATTCCAGTTATCTTCCATAACTTCTGGAGTTATTATTCGCACTTGGTCTGTGAATCTGTTAGACGATCAGCTAATGCTCTTCATATTCAAGTTATAGCCGAAACATTTGAGCGATATAAATCTATGAAGGTAGGTCAGCTAAAATATATAGATAGTATACAGTTTATGAATAATAGCTTGGCAAATCTTGCAAAGAATTTGGGAGATAATAAACTAATAATAAGTCAGCATTTCAAAGAACTAGGCTACTCTCTAAAGCAATTAACCTTAGCATGTCGTAAAGGGTCTATCTATATGAGTATATTGATTTTTATGACAGATTCAAAGAAAAAGAGCTCCCACTAATTCACGAATTTCATAGCTCTTTAGGTAATGCAATTACGAAAAAAGATTACTAGCATACCTAGAATATTTGGAAGGAATTCAGTTGCCAAAATTTAGGTGAGTATCATGACCTCTATCTTAAAACTGATGTACTTCTTCTTACAGATATCTGGACAAAATTCTGAGTGAAATGTTTGCAATATTATGAACTAGACCCAAGTCACTATGTTTCTGCCCCATTCTTATCCTGGAATGCCATGCTTAAGATAATAGAAGTTAAGATCAAATTATTCACAGAAATGGTCATACATGATTTCATCGAAAAAGCTAAGCGTAGTGGTATATCTATGGCAAGTAAGCGCTATTTCAAAGCCAATAATCCTAAAATGGGTAATGTATTCAACCCATCTAAACTCACATCATAGATATCATATGTAGACGCAAATAATCTTTACAGATGAGCTATGAATTAGTACTTACCTGTTGGAAACTATCAATGGGAAGATATTCAGGAATACTTACTTAAGAATCTGGCTAAGCAAAAAAATATCTCGAATATATTCTCAAAACAAAAGCAAATGCTAAATGAGGGTATTTTCTAAATATTAAGACATATTTTTCACTAAAGACTTATGATTATTTGAGAGACTTACTACCAGCCGTAAAGAATATTACTGTAGGAAAGATATGCTATGTTCTTATATAAAAAAGCTTGTGGATAACTTAGATGGTAGACGCTTTACAGCTACAGAAAAATTAGTTCCACATCTTGGCTCATGAAAAGATTATATTATTTATTATCTAGAGCTTCAGTATTACATAAAGTTAGGAATGATTGTAGACAAAGTTACAAAGATCCTTTCCTTTTACCAGACTAACTGGCTAGCTCTATATATAGCTTTTAATATAGAGAAACGTCAAGAGGCTAAAAATGTCTTCGAAAAAGACTTCTTCAAGCTTATGAATAACTCAGTATATGGCAAGACTATAGAAATGTTCGCAAATATCAGGATGTCAAGATTATGAAGAATAATAATGAGCAGGATGAAAAAGCTTTCTTGAAAAAAGTTCGCAAGCTATCTTTCAAGTATGCTAGACCGCTTAGACCTACATTAATAGGTGTACATATAGAAAAGGCTAGTGTGACTCTCAATAAGCCCATAATTATAGGTGCTTCAGTCTTGGGTCTTAGTAAGTTTCACATATATCACTTCTGGTATAGTTATATAAAGAAGCGATATAGTGATAAAGTCCAGCTTGGCTATATGGATACTGACTTCTTTATATTTCTAGTCAAAACTGAAGACATTTATAAAAACATAGTTGAGTATCCTGACATTTTTACTATTAATGAGGATGTAACTATTGGCAAGTTTAAAGATGAAACCCTGGGTAATGTAATCACAGAATCATTTCACATCTGAGCTAAGTCTTACCACTATGTCTTGGTAGATAAGACCACGAAGTCTAAGTATAAGGGGATTAGCAAAAAGGTATGAGCGAGATGGCTACAGATTCATATATGCTAACTTTAAAAGGCTCCTTGCTAGATGATCTGATAAATAGGTCATTATTATCACAACTAGAGACTAGGGATTTGGCTGTGTGAACTAAGGCAGATCCTATGACATTAGTATATTGGAACTGTCTCTTTGGTAAGGAAGTATTCTATGTAAAGAATGTAGGTATCTGATCAAAGGATCACATATTATATCTGATTGAGTCAGAAAAGAAGGCACTCTGCTCTATAGATACTAAGCGCCAGATATTAACAGATGGGATAACTACTTTACCATATGAACATTAGCGCAATATAATTTATAAGAACATGGTCAAAGATGGTGTCCCCCATGAAATAGCTGAAAAAAGAGTTATAAAGGCCAAGCTCTCAGAGAAATACCAAAACAAATGTATGTCTCACATATCCAGCTCACCTATATAAGCTAGATAATAATGAGTAATCAGATCGCATATATTATTATATTATTTTTTTTCCTAATGTGATAAATATTCAGTTATAGAAAATGCAAATAAAATATTAAAAAGTGTTTCTAGTAAGGGTTGTGCCTGAACTTCGACAAGAAGTCTATATAATTGATCTTAAATTGACATTGGATAGATTGGCACAGGAGCTAGAGTTTGCGTAAAAAGATGATTATTCTTCTAAGCTAAGCAGTTCAGAGTAGTGATCATTACTCAGAAAAATAAAACATTTTCTGCACCTTTTTTCCTATGACTATTTTTCGACAAGGGTGCTTCAGCTGAAATTTTAGTCATACAAATTTTTCTCCTGAAGATCTTTGATTGAAAGAGGGATTATCATATTTATCTCAGGGGTTTTTATGTTTTACAATGATCGTAACCTTAACTAAGGTATAGTAGTCTTTTTTTTGTGACATATCTTTTCATCATTGGTTCTGATTTATTCATGATCTTCATTCCGTGATGCTTATTTCTAAGATATTCATTCCTGAGATAAATTTTCAGGGTAAGACTAATTTCGTTTTAGTCTTGATATATGAAAAATATTTATGTAGGGAAAAAAGGCGAGAAATCTTTATGATTTAACAGTATAACTAGCGAAATACTAGCATGTCCTTCAGAAATCCATGCGAATGATACAGAGGTTTTTCAACTTAAAACACTTTCGTTAAATTTCCTAAGAAACACTTCTGAAATAACTGATGAATATATTCCAAAACTTAATCCTTATCACTTCTGCGATGAAGGAATTCTTGCCTTACCACTTCATTCATTCACAGTATTATTATGTGAACATATATACCATCGAATATGTCTTGAAAATATATTATACGATCAGAAACACATTTTTCTTTATGCCCTATTTCTAGTTGTATATCACCTATCAAACTTGTTAATGAGGAACTTATACTAGCTTCTGGTGAATATCACATGGTATTTAAAGATAAGGATTTCAGGAAAAAAGACCCCCTAAGTGATGATACTGTAGGAAATGAATTGGAACTTTTGCTTGATTTAGGATTAATAGACGATGAATTTCTTGCGAATCAAGAGAAAAAAATAACCAAAATTATTACGCATGATTAAACAACAAGTCTTACTATAGATGTGAAAAATTCTGCAGATAATTTGACTAATCAAACAGCTGAAGATAATACTGACAATACACAAATTCGATCATTAAAGGTTTTATCTTCCAAAATTTCTCGCAAACAGAACAAGGTATAAGGTTTGTTGCAAGAATTGTTTATACCTGGAGAACCTGAAGAAAAAAATGATAATGAAGAGGGTGGGGGATCTATTTCACAAAATTTGGCACGATTATATAAAAAAGCAAGTCTTACAGAAAAACGTGTTATGAAGGCAAATCAAGATGAAATTTTGTATTAGTATCAATTCGCAGAAAGCTTTGAAAAAAGAGTCAAGGAGATCATAAATAGTAATAGTAGGCTTAATGATCAACAAGCTAGAACCTGAGTATATGAAGAAGTTGCACAACATTTACCTAGTTTTACAAAAGATAGTTTGCGTAAGAAGACTGCCAAAGCTAGGAATATCTATCCCTATAAAAAATTTGCATACGTTTTTTCATTATTATAAATAAGTTTTGTATACGTTTTTTAAAATTCTGTATCACA